AACTGATTATTCCTCCTCTGTTGTCTCTTCATCTTTCAGATCTGTTGTTTTATGTATTATATTAGCATATCTGTGTTTTATTGTTTGTTCAATATCTTACGATCACATCATTCAGAACATACTTGCTGTGGTATTAAAAATAGGGCTGTAGACAGGATTGAAAAAAACATATATACAACGATTTTCCCCAATGCAAACCCACTGACGCTTTTTTAAAAAGTCATTAAACACTTCTGCCATATTTTATACTTGTACAAATTCTGATATTCTTAAATTGTATTAATTCATTAAGCTAGTAGTATTTAAGTGTATTATGGTCCAAATGTTACAACACTCTGAATGCAACACAGACTCAAGTGATGTCTTTTGAGGATTGTGGACAGTTACAGCGAGATATAAAAAACGTTTTTCACATATGTAGTATAACTTTGCTGTTTCATATTTGTGGAGTTCCCATTTAACAGACAAACTGCCTTCTCTTTGATCCTGTTAAAATGTTGTTCTTATTTGTTGCACCTGCAGCCATACCTGGTAGTGATGTCACCTGTAGATTACTGCAGCAAGGTGAGACGCTCAACCACTAGAGGTCAGCAAAGACAATTTAGAAGGGGCAACTCTTTATATTGTTTTTTCTTTTTATATTTGCAGAAAAGATCATTGCAGTTCAAAAGTTAATTGTGATCTTATGATATATATGTTCACTACATTTCCGAGCTAAATCATAACAGAACAAATTCATTGTGGGGCTCCAACACTGACATCTAACACCAACAATATCTAGATTGATAAATAAAACTCAAGGTAGGAGAACAATTAAATATTTTTGGGTGAGTGGTCCTTTTAGGAAGTTATTGTTCAAATAATAACTTTTACACTTTGGTGGCAAAACTCAAATTTCTCTGACCTCATCGGCTAAAACAAAAAGGGAACACATTTTTTACATTATTCATAATAATTTTCATGGGTAAAAGTACTTACTTTAATTATAAATAATTAAATAGTTGATTGAATTGAGTATGCTGGTTTGTTCACTGTGAATGTTTCTTTAAGATACTTCGAGGGTGTGTCAGCTGATGCAGCTGTGTTGCATCTCTGGCATCAGTTCAAAGTGCACCTAAATGTGTGTGTAATAAGGTGCCCTCTATCCTCACTCTAGCACCTCTTATCATTACTGACCTCACATCTCCCCCTGGTGCTGACTGAGGTGGATGCTCAATGAACTGCAAAAGGAGTTTGCAGGATCTGTGCGTGTGTGTGTGTGTGTGTGTGTGTGTGTGTGTGTGTGTGTGTGTGTGTGTGTGTGTGTGTGTGTGTGTGTGTGTGTGTGTGTGTGTGTGTTTGGTTGCGGTTGCCTACATGTTCTGCAGACTAAAAGAGTTATTCTTATGTCTTAGCTAAGTATAAAATACAGAGACGCCAAATTGAATATGAGCTCTTTAAAAGAAAAACAGTGATATGTGCACTGTCAGCGGCAATGATTATTTCACAAGCAAAAGCCTCCGCATTGGATTTTACATTTTTTTTTAATTTCCTCTTAAGAAAAAGAAGCAGAGGCAACCAAAAACATCCCTACAGGAATATTACAACTAGAGATTTCAGAAACACCTGAGGGAATGATTAGGATTCCTTAGAGGAATATTGCATCAGTGTTCTGCTCTGGAATAACAGGCTGTTCTTGTCCTCATTAGAGTTTTGGAGTCAAACACACTGGATTGAATAGGCCATAGCAACTGATTGCTGTGTATCCCAGCACCAGGCTTGTGGTGGTATACCTGCAGAAAAACTAATTATCCAAACACTTAAATTAAACCTGGGAGGTTTCAAAGGGGCAATGAATAAGAACTTTACTGTCCCGTAGCGCAAAACGATCCAAATAAATCTGTGGTGGCAATAGGGGGCTGATCAATAACTGTGACTCAACGGATACATCACCAGGGGCTGCAATGTCTGGTTCTTAAAGTTTAAAAAACGTTTTTAAAGACTACATTCATTTCTGATTCCTCAAGGTAGGGCCAACAGTAAAAACATCTGTTTTTCTTCAGAATATTTTTGAAGCCTTCATACTTCTTCATACCAAGCACTCACAAGGTTCGGCTAAAATGTACTAGCCTGTAAATCTTAGACTAATCTTCAAAATATGATACATTATTCCAGAATCAAACCTGGAACAAACAATGTAAATCAATGTGTTTGACCCGTGGATAATCACCTAGATATTAGATGTTGTTGTTGTCATGATCAATGCTGGTATAATCCAATCCAGAAACGTAACTTCTGCCACACTCAGAGCTGCTGCTTTGTCCTATATGGAAATGACTGCCACTGTCAGAGGGGGGAGACACAAGTTACACACTGCAGCTTTGAGATTAATGATGTAAACAAACCCCTTACAGGTTAAGACAAATTTACATTTTTGTAATGTTTGTAAAACATGGAGTTAAACATCTAAGATGTGTCATTGGGGGAATAATAATTTCAGGATTAAATACTTCCAATGATTTACATATTCTGAATGTAAACTGTGATACCCAGACGTGTGAAGATTAAGGTAAGATAATATGTTTATGGATTTTTATTAATGGGTAAAATTGATGAAAAGATAGAAAAATAAGTGTTCCAAAAACCCTTATGAGCAATACTAAAATATGCAGGAATTTTCTTCCAGAAATATTTCTAAAGGAGAAATCTACAACAATTGTTTTGTTAAATTGGGAGAATAGATTCAATTGTTGGCAAATGTACTTCGTTTTACGCTGTTCTGCTAGCAAGGTACAGGTATCTACGTTACTTTAGGAATGGATGGATAGTAATGGATTACATTTCAGGGTAATGACACCGGTTGCCACCCAGCAGTGGAGATGAAGGGCATGGAGGCTCGGGTGTGAGACTGCAGCACGGTGCGCAGTGACCGGCTGCGTCCACTGGGGGAGGACCGAGCACCGCCTGCATGCGCTGCGGTACACCAACGACTTTCTCACCGAAGCTCTCCAGCATCACACACACTTATACACAAATGCACACACGTGGACGCACACACGGAAACACACACACACACACACACACACACACACACACACACACACACACACACACACACACACACACACACACACACACACACACACGATGGGAGGGATACCGGAGTATAGGTAGGGCTACAGCGGCAGACAGACAGATGTGTGATGCTCACCGACAGTGTGTGAAGGTAAACTTTTAGCACCATCACATATTTACGCCGTGACCGTGTGGAGCTGTCATTGATGCCAACTCGCTGATTGCACACCTGCTTCTGTTTTTTTATTTGTTCCAATCATAATTGCTGCCGGCACACTGGGAACGATGCAGCAGAAACGGGGGCTAAAGTGGTGTTAGATCCTGTTGAATTGAGAGCAGACGTCGAGACACAGCCAAAAAGTGTCCTCCTCGGAGTGCGTCAGAGCACGGATGTGTAGAGTGGATGATATATTCGCTGGTTGGATATAACGAAGGATTTGTGAAATTACCCCCGAAATCAAGACGTGAATTTGGGCAGAAACGAAGAACTGCATCCTCACCTAGCCTTCCTCCCCCTCCTCCTCCACCAGATTTGTTTGAAGGGGGGCTAAGGCTATTTCGTGTGGCCCCTTTTAACATGTGAGTATGTGAGAATGAATGGAGGCTATTTTAATAAGCAGGAAAAATATCATGCGTTATGTCGGTTCTCAACCTAAATGCATTCATTTCTGAAAGCTTACCTCCATGCTACTCAATGATAATAAACCCAAGCTAATACATAAAAAAATAAAACACTATAATTATATTATGCCAATTAAGTTTACCACCCTTTTATTGCAAAACATGCGTTATATCCTGGACTATGGAGTCGCCAAAACAACGGACATATGTGAATTAATCATTTGTTTTGGTTAAACCAACTGCTATGCTCTCTTGTCTTTTTCCTCGCAGCTCCAGGGAGCGTCGGCGAAATAAAGTCCTTCAGATTCACTGGAGCTATACAATATGCCAGCAAATTCAGTTGTTTTTGTATCACATAAAATGGCAACCAGGAGTGACCACGGATAATCAAGAGACGCATTTGGGCGCAAGCCGCGGCCGTGGATAATTTAACCACCTGATGGGCACCGGATAAACCGAGGAGAGACTGCTTTGGCTGTAGCATGTTGACTTGATGATTAATAATGCCGAACAAATAAAGGGCGCTGCAAGTTTGCAACAGAGCGCCTGCGTAACAGGCTTTGTCACCGGCCCTCACGTTTTTTGGATATGGTAATGATGTCATAACATATTGGGGGCCAGTGCCTAAAAGGGAAGATAGGCTGATCAATGCCCCCTATCACGTAAGTAGCCACATGGACTGCTCTCAACATGGACCTATGTGAGGTGTGTTTGTTATTCTGACTTTCTCACATTCACAACTGATTGGTCGAACCGGTTGATGTCTCATTTTCTCTCTCTGCGCGCGCCGAGCTGCAACTTTTATCCTCTGGCCTCCATCCACATCGCCCCGAGGCGGTCACTCTAGCTCAAGGACCGAACCGCTCGTTGACTCAAGATGGAGTTTGCCATTGTGGGTGCGGACGGCGGGTGCAATAGTCACCTGCCTTACGGATATGCCCAAGCTCGCGCACGGGAGAAGGAGCGCGAGAGGGAGCGCCAGGCTGCCCAGTCGGGAACGGCGGCTACTGAAGGTGGGTCCGGTGCGGAGGAAGGAGGTGGTGTTGGTGGATGTGCTGGGGACGGCGTGGGGGAGTCCACCTCCTCCTCGAGCGCTCATCTCCTTAACAACCGCCAGCATCAGTCTCGCGCCACCTCCTCCACGAACGCCAACATCAGCAGCGGTGGTACCGCCTCGCGCCCCTCCTCCTCCTCTTCCTCCTCCTCTTCCTCCTCCTCTTCCTCCTCGCAGCCGCCACAGCACCAGCAGGACCCCGAGCAGCAGCACAGGGTTCTCAGAGAGCGGAAAAAGCAGCGCGGCGTCGGACGCTGGAGACGCAACCGGACGACTCTCGGCGGGGACCTGCGCCACTCGGAGCTGGCGCTGCTCGGATCCGAGGAGGACATGATGATAGAGGAGGAAGAGGCCGAAGGAGCCGAGGAAGAGGAGGAAGAGGAGGACCGGGTTAGCAAGAGGTCCAGCTTTCTGTGTAACATGGATGATGAGGAGACCGTTTCGCTCACTGACAGGCGTCCTCAGTCCGGATACGAAAATGTTTACAACGAGTGTGGCTGCTGCGAGAGAGTGGTCATCAACGTGTCGGGGCTGAAGTTTGAAACTCAGCTCAAGACTCTCGCTCAGTTCCCGGACACGCTCCTGGGAGACCCTGACAGGCGAATCAGGTACTTCGACCCGCTGAGGAACGAATACTTCTTCGACCGCAACCGACCGAGCTTTGACGCCATTCTTTACTATTACCAGTCAGGGGGGCGTTTGAAAAGACCCGCAAACGTCCCATTTGACATTTTCTCCGAGGAGGTGAAGTTTTATGAGCTCGGGGAAGAGGCAATACTCAAGTTTCGGGAGGATGAGGGTTTTGTGAAAGAAGAGGAAAAACCTCTGCCAGAGGACGAGTTCAAGCGCCAAATTTGGCTGTTGTTTGAGTATCCGGAGAGCTCGAGCCCTGCCAGGGGGATAGCGGTGGTGTCCGTGCTGGTTATAGTAATTTCTATTGTCATTTTCTGCATGGAGACGCTGCCGGAGTTTAGGGATGAAAAAGAGTATCTACAGCCACGACTCAACTCCACTCAACCTGATCACGGATTTACTCCTTTCAACGACCCGTTTTTCATCGTGGAAACGGTTTGCATCATCTGGTTTTCCTTTGAGATTACAGTGCGCTTCTTTGCGTGTCCGAGCAAACCGGTTTTCTTTAAAAACATTATGAACACAATAGACATTGTATCCATTTTGCCTTATTTCATAACTCTCGGCACGGACCTGGCGCAGCACCAAGAAAACGGGCAGCAGGCGATGAGCTTTGCCATCCTGAGAATAATCCGTCTGGTCCGGGTGTTCCGCATCTTCAAGCTGTCCCGGCACTCTAAGGGGCTGCAGATACTGGGCCACACTCTGCGAGCCAGCATGAGGGAGCTGGCCCTCCTCATTTTCTTCCTGGTCATCGGTGTCATCCTGTTCTCCAGCGCGGTGTACTTCGCAGAGGCGGACGAGCCCTCCTCGCAGTTCACGAGCATCCCCGACGCGTTCTGGTGGGCCGTGGTGACCATGACCACGGTGGGCTACGGGGACATGAAGCCCATCACTGTCGGTGGGAAGATAGTTGGCTCCCTCTGTGCAATAGCTGGCGTGTTAACCATCGCGCTCCCGGTGCCGGTCATAGTGTCCAACTTCAACTACTTTTACCACAGGGAGACGGATAACGAGGACCAGGCGCCGGTGGTGGAGAGCTTGCCCCCGGGCTGCCCGTATTTCCCGGACTTGTTAAGGAAGTGTAAAGGCTCGCCTTCTGGCTCCACGCTGGGGGACAAAGCGGAATATATGGAGATGGAGGAGGGGGTCACGGAGTCTCTTTGCGGGTTGGACAAGAGCCCAAGTAAAGGAAACGGCACAGACATAGGCAGGAGAAACAGTACTAACTCAAAATCCATACAGACTGACGTGTGATTACAAGTAGAATTTTGTTTTACCATTTTTTCCTGAAGAAGATTACGCCCTATAATATACTGTTTGCCTATAAGCAGGTGGTCCCCATGACACATGTTTTACGCACACAAACATACACACTTAACACTCGTTCACAGGTCACCAATTGGAAGATTATAATGTTTCATTATCTCCATCTCACAACGATGGTTTCTCCTAAACCTCTCCTTAACCTTTAGGAACAATTATGATGAATATTTGCCTAATTATTTGGGTTAATTAATTAATAATTATTTTTGTCTAACCTTCGGGCTTCCAAATATGTCATAAATTAAAAGTCTAGACAAGACAGGCTATGCATTCGCACTTTACCAGTTTCATCTGTCAGTATAAAGGTAGGGACGATCGTTTTGCTGTTATGCAATAAAGTTAACATTTGTTTGCACTATGTAGAATTTGCGCTGGGTTAGGTTATTTCAGAGACAAACTGTAGGCCATGCAAATGACATTAATTGAGTCATCCTCTGACCACTTATATGAAGAATGTTTGAGTAACTTCCTTTAAGAGGCAAACTAAGGTTATTAATAACCTCTTTCATACTCTGCCAATACAAATTGGACTCTAAGAAAGGAAAAGCCTGGGATAGATAAAATACTTTTGTTACTGCTCCAACTCTTAGAACAAAAACTGATTAAAACATAGCATTTACCAGACATCAAATAACCCAGGGCTAGAATTATTTGTATTACATCTACACAAATATGCTTTTCCATAAAAAGCCTTGAGTTGTTGACCCACAATGAGAGCTAAGCACAGGAAACATCAGAGTTAGAAAAAGGCTGGAGAAATGACTTGCCCTGCCAGGTTATGTAAGGACAGGCTTGGAGCCTTTACGACAACAGTATCCCCAGTTTCATTTAAACCACCTCAAAATGACAATATCCCTTTACACAGACGTAGATGGAAAGCTATAGCAAAACCAACTCTAATGTGGAAACTCCTCGAAGGGGAGTTTGCGAGCAACTTCCTTTCCTGTCCCCTGGACTTTGTGCACAAAATATTTTTATTTTCTCAAGAGGACTATGATTATCTTCTTGCTCAGAGGATCACCGAGATGTGGATGTCTTCCAAGGTATGTAGCCTGCACTTTGTGTGACAGTGTTGGTGAAAACAACTACATGAAAGAGATAGTCAATAATGCCCCTGAAAATATGGAATCATTTTGCATAAAAACAATGAATGCATCACTCACTATATGTATCAGCTCATAGCGCATATTTAGTGGCATCTCACTCAACATTTATTTTCAACACTTGGTTGTCCCCTAGACTCATGCGTAATACTGTGGAACTATGGCTTTATATGGCGCACAATCCAGTCATCATGTTTGGCTTGAACATATTTATGCAACACTAAGGCCTCAAATACAACAATATTACAAACACCTTCTCATTCATAATAATAAAAGCTGTAATTATCCGCTACAGGATGACATCAGGTCAACCTGCTGCAGACCTATGGCAAGGGAAGATTTACCACAAATGACTTTGTGGAACATTTATAGCGTCTGAATTTATGCAGCAGTGATTTTTTTTTTAATAACTTTAAAAGTAAAGTGCTACAGAGCTTACACCCTGCTATGAAGGATAGGGTTGATATTACTTAAATCAAAGAATAATAGATTTGATTTGTTATTAAGGTGTCCTTATGTTGTCTCTTGCTAGTCATCTTATTTAAAGTTAAGAAAGTATTCTCACCCTTACATTAGGTGTAGCTGTAGAATGAGGACATTGTGTCACATAGGGCCAGGACATTTTGTAGTTTCACAACATTTATCAGCCTAAATTCCCTTCTCATTTCAAATGTTGAAAGCTAAACATTTTTATCTTGGTACAAAGTGTATCCTTCATGGTGTCACCTGATTTACAGATAGGATCACAAAAGGCACAGAATATATTGAATAAATAAAGTTAAATAAACTAGTACACGTTACTCCTTTCATCATTGCTCTTCTGCATTCCTCAGCACATTATCACTGCATCTGCATATAATCATTTATTGCATGTTTTTATATCCTCAGAGGAACTATTCCAACAAGATATTTTCAACACCTGCTCTCACAACCGAACACACACACACACACACACACACACACACACACACACACACACACACACACACACACACACACACACACACCATCCTGGCATGGTGCCAACTCCTTGATACCTCACATTTAACACTTACATAATGTGGTTTATGGCAAGAGGCGCAATACAATTTTTTTTTCAAGCAAAGTGTGTGGGTCAGGCATATTCTTAGGCCTTTAGCTGCTGAGCCGACTGTGAAAAACAGGCTGTATCATCGTGAGCCACAGAACAGAGCTGAATGGGTCTGACTCTTCATAGCTTCTCATTGTCACATGCACGGCGAGTCTTTGTAGTGCAGATTTAGACCATATGGCCAGGCCATGTGACAAAGTGAGAGTTATTTATGGTTATTTCTCAAAAGGTATTCTATGCATGTCAAAGGACACAGAGGAGAGGTGGAATGAAAGTGAGTGTGCAGTACATAATGTCACACTAGGTTATGTAATTATAGCACAAGTGAGGAGAGTGAGATCAACAGTTTAGGTCACTAAGACAAACATGTGCTGGTTATAGCTTCTCCAGTGTGGCCAGTTGCTGCAAGCCCCCATTATATAACATGGGCATTTTCTGTAAATTGAACTCTAATGGTTATAGGTACATTGACTTGAATTATGACTTGAATTACCAGGGAAAACTGTCCAGGGTCCCCAAATGCCCCATGTTCTACTGTGGCAATCGCTTTGTTGATCTTGAATCAAACACTTTTTGTTGATGCAATAATCAGATATAAGCACAATTACAAGACTGTCGGTCGGACAAAATGTCAAGGATTCAACGTATTATTATTTTATATATTTACTATTTTAGCGGGAAGACTTTACATATTGCCTGTTGTATGAGAGTCAAAATGGCAGACATAAGATTAATATTCTTTAAGAATACTTTTAACATATCACAAACTAACTCTCATACAGCAAACCTGCATGTGAAAATGCATTTGTGTGTGTGTGTGTGTGTGTGTGTGTGTGTGTGTGTGTGTGTGTGTGTGTGTGTGTGTGTGTGTGTGACCAGTATTGTTCAAAGATGTGGCTATTTCAGACACATGGTAACAGTCTCTCTGCACTTTTGGAATCCATGCATACCAACATACGACAACCAACATACACGTCTGTATGCCATGCAACTTATTCACATAGCTATAATGGAAGTGAGCTGGTAAAAGACTCAACTTCTAAATGAAGAACAGCATCAGAGTTAATCATATATACAGTATACAGTATTTGTATTGGGTAGATTAAATGCCACTGACCAGTATTCAGAGCTTCTACTGTGATTATCACACTGGCATAAAACATTCACAAATGCTTTATTGATATTATTCGGCTTCTTACATTCCAGTCCAGATTTGATGACAGTTGACTCTTATATTGAAACTTCCTGCTCTGCATAACAAATTGACAAATTGTGCTGATAACCTGAGGTCAGAGTCACCGCTGACCCTGCAGACAAATGGCTCATTTTGCTGTTTGGAAAATGATTCTTACCTGCAGCCAAGACAGCCATCCATCTTCTACATCTGCTTGTTGTTGTTCAGGGTCACAAGAGGCTGGAGCACATCCCAGCATGCACTGGGCAACAGGCAGGGAAGAATGAACCGTTAGCCAGTTTTACAAAGAGCCTAAATAAAGACAGACAAACACATTTATAATCATTTTGACTCCTTAAGGGTTTACTGTTTCCGGTCTACTTTACCAGCACCCATTAGAGTGTAAAGATGACAATGTGCAATTATGGCTTTGACATCAAACAACTTAGAACTATTGCAGTCTAATGCAACACTTCTACCTTCATTAATGTTTTAATGTTCAGTTTTGGAGCACTTTGTTTCTTTTTTTAAAGGCTGGAGTTTTAATGGATGGTTATTAGGAGGCTCGATCAAGGTTTATACAGATTCCAACAATACCATTACATCGAATCAGACTTCTCCAAAAAAGCTTAAACAAATTACATATTAGCATTTATGAAGGTTAAGCAATGCTCAAATTATTAAAACCGTAAAAAGGAAATCACAAACCTAAACAATTTGGGGTTTTCTGCATTGTTTTAACTATCGTTGGATTAGTATTGGGTGCACTTAATAAACTGGCAACTGAATGTTTGTTTCAATGTTCTCTTCTTACTGCGAAAAAGTTACGTTTTTTAGATGCAACGTCTTCTTTAAACACTTTTCAGCACTTCCACAAAAGCACATACAAGCTTTTTTTAATTTTTTATAATGTATTCTTGTGTTAAAGCCTTTAAATGTTTGGTATTATTAGGACATGACACACATGCAACACAGATCATAAAAGGTGGTATCCAAAGGGATGAAAAGTATTCTTCTATTTCCAGAGGTGAGAATTAACAGTGACATTTAGGTTGTTTCTGTGATAATGATGCATATGTGTTGGTGTGCAATATTTCACTTTTCAACTAAGTTCTGAATTATTTCTACTCGAACATGTTTACAAAATGTAATGTTCAAAAAAACATTATTTTCATACTGTATGTCTAAATATACCTTTAACTAACCTCTCTGAAACGCTCCATTTTAGTTATTGCCAGAAGTCTGCCCTGATTGGCCTGCAAGAAAAAATTGCAAAGGTAGTTCTCAAGCCAAACATGTACTGTAGATACTCACAATAATGTGTTCACATCCCCTTTAAACATTGTATCAGCACATTACTGCCTACAAAATCAACGGTTAAATGTTAAGAATTTAAGCAGGAAAGCTATTCTTGCTCTTACATTTTTCCCACTGATCCAGCTTGTACCTTTTCCATAATTGCAATGATTTTGTGTAGAGATCATTAATCAACCAAAATACCATAGAATGTAACAACATAATGATGCCTGTTTGAGTAAAGCACCTTACTTGTACTGTTGTAAGT